GGTACGGCATGTATAGATAAGAGCTGTCTGGAGAGCTTCTAGCCTAGTGTCTAACTCTCGAGCATGGTATCATTGACCACAAGTGCTGTTACAGCCATGCGTTCCAATACCCACAAAGCTCCACCTCCCACAACAGTCAATATTCTCTCTTGAGTTATCCAGCAGGTATATTAAGTCATCTAAACAGTTGGTAAGACAGCAAGAGTTGAAGTGCCCATATCACAGGGATAAAACCCAGCTTTCTAACAGTCAAACAGACATACCAAAACCTAGGTTTCCTTAGGCTCTGTAGAAAAAAGGTTGCAAGAAGAAATCAGAGATAAAACAATAGCAGACAACTGCTTCAGTCATCTTGCTGTCGCTGAAGGTCCTTGGCTACATGAAGTCACATTTTAAACTCCTCAAATGGTATTTATTAGTTGCTTAAGATATAATGGGAGCTAAAAGTGTCCCTCTCCATCCACAATTCTTCACAAGACTGAACCCTTTTCTACAGGACTATAACCTAGTTTTAAGGATTCAGAAAGTCATAATCCCTTTGTCTGTCCATTTTAGTTCATAGCTAAGAAAGAAGCCACATGCCCTGACAAAGTCCCGGCTTGTGCAAAATACAGGGCACCACCTGCTTAGCGACACAGGGCTTCATAAACATACCATGTTGACACTCTGTTCTGTATTAGTTCCCCAGTAAACATACAATTCAAGTTCTTCATCTATGCGCTCAAACTTCTTCACAAGATTATCTCTGTCATTTTCAAAGACTGCTTCTTCCGTGGCCAAGACACAGATACATTCCAGAAGAATCAGCCAATGATTAATACATGGTAATATGTGGTTCACATAATGGCATATGTATACATAGCGGTGGAAAGGACCTCAGCAAACTACAGACTGTAAGTACTCTAACTGGATTAAGGATAACAAAAACGTGTCAGAGATGTTATAACTCTGTGACTTGAAAAAAGGTACCCTCATTTCCCAAAACCTGTCTAACCTAGCAATTAGCACCTAGAAGTTTTCCTTAATATCCAAGCTAGATCTTGCTTTTTGCAAACGAAGGTTTCTTCCCCATGCTGTTCCTCTCCCCAAACTTCTCACCATTCCTAGAAGAAAAGAACCCACAACCCTCATTATTACAAAGAAGTTCAGATCTCCCAACCTTCCTCTGCATATCCTTTTTTTCTAAGTCTTTGTATTTTTGTTGCACCTAGATAAAGAGATTTTGCAGTTCCCCTGTAGAGAAGACCAAATCAGTTATATAAATTGCGTATCTTTTTTTCTGAAGCAAGTGTAAAGACTTTTTAAACCTAATTCTCGGTTCTTCAGTTGTAGAGAATCTTAATGCCTTTATGCAGTGAAAGCTGTTGTAATCCATTTATACCATTCTGACAGATATGGCACAAGAGAGAGAAAAATATTTACTACTTCCTTGGGACGGAGTGCTATCTGTTAACTTTCCACATATGGTCGTAACACTGAAAAGCTGCAGTAGCACGGCAAGAAGTTAGCAGAACAGAGATACTTCTGTTGTGTCTTACTACTTCACATTCTAGGTCCACATTGTAGGAAAAATCAATCTATCACTATGAAACTCAGAAAGAATGATTACATATAGCATCATTTATAACAAGCACAATACAGAATGTTATAAACAATGAACTTTAGACCATTATGGAAAACAATTATAGCTAAGTATAGCAATGACTTCATTTCCCGTTTAATATGTTTCTAGCCATTGAACTCCAAATTTATTGATTCATTGACTACTGCTAACAACCCTGCAACAAGAGAAAAATTCCTCACTTCTATTTGCTTAGCCTTATATCAGAAGTCTAACATCTCATTTCAATACTTTCTGTGTACTGAAATGTCAAAACTGACTTGAAAAATCACATGAGGAATAAAATACTGTTCATAATAAATACACTTATAAATAAATTTGTATTTAATTTTCATCTTCACATACCTTTTCAAGCCAATAGGGAGACGTTAAAAATGTAGAGGATCCAAAATTTTCTCCCGCATAGGGTGATGGATACGGGTGTGGTAAATTTAGTCCCAAGTACAGAACAAATGGTTGAGCAAGGTTAATAGCTTCTTCCTTTATCCAGTTTACTGCTTTATCAGTATTCTGCCAATCTGCTTCCATCACTCTTACGTGCTTCCTATCACCAGTAAGATTTACCATGGGTCTCCCTTCTTGCCGGAGCAGGAAGTCAACATCCCTAGTCCAGGCCTCCACACGGTTACTGAAAATTTATACACAAGATACATACTCAGTTGAAAACATTTTCTTCATTTTTCCTCCAAAAAGAGTTAAGAATTCCTGAAGAACATATTTGTAGCTGCAACCTATTTGCAATTTCTACAGAAAGGAGAACTGTTATTCAATTGATCAACAGCTATTGTGCATCTATTTTCTACTCAAAACTCTAGCCATTCTTTTTTGCTTCTGAATCTTTTTTCTAACTTCATGCCAGGATGGTTCTCCTCACATTTACAAAGTAACATTTAGAAAGAACATCTCCATCTTGTTGACCCTGCTCCCTATTCTGGCATGGATTCACATACTATTTACCTGGTAAAGAGGGCCTAAGATTTTTGTTATTTGAAAAAGTTCTGTGGGAAATAACTTGCCTGGAGACGTTGCCTTTAGAAGCAATGTTCTGGCTTTGGATTGTAATACTGCAACATTTTTAAACACTATCACTTACAACAAAAATCTCTAAGAGTGATTTATCTTGTACAATTGTTTTTGATATAATTGATAAATCCTGTCAAGAAAAGGGAATAACAGAGGAGAAGGATGTAGGGAGAAAGCATGAAGGGGAAAAAAAAGACAACACTTTAATGATAAAATATTTTTAGAACAGATATTCTAATATCACGACAATTGTTGCTTCTCTAAAACACTGAGAAATCTGAGCTGTAGATGTCCTTGTTTCTTTGGCAGAGTGAATGACACCACAACTGCCATAAACAGGGCTGGGAGGAAACATCCCAGTAAGACCTTGACTAATCTTCATTTTGTTCATGGTAATTTCAATATGACCAAAGAAACGATAAAAGAAAATCTGAAACTGCTCAAGGTTTGGTCATGTACTTTCATTAAAACACAGTGTTTTATTACTGTTTAAAGAACATCTAACCAGTTTTTTCACCATAGCAATTTTATCAGTGCTCTTTAAACCTCCAGAAAAACTATTCAGAATTATCTGTAGCAACAATTTTATTATTGTTTTAACTCCCTGTTTAAGCTCATACTTTCAAGGTAAACAGGCTTAAACAAATTACTTAGAACAAATTAAGGTAACTAGATGGCCTATAGAGAAAGTGTACTTCATAAACATTAAAATTAAATGATGTTAAAGGTGTGGGGGGGGGTGTGCACACACGTGTGTGAGAGAGAGAGACATGGCATCTAATGTCATAATACTGACATATAAAAAAATTATTACGTAGGCCATAGGCCAGTCTCTGACTATCCAATCAGACTGAGGTTAGGATCCAGTTAAAAAACAAGAACAAAACCCCCAAAACTGAACCCCCTCTCCCAAACCAAAAAACAAACAAACAAAACCCACCACAAACCAAACCAAAAATTCCCACTTCAGACCCTTTCCACATTCTGGAGCAACACAGGAGATGTTTTAACACATCTAAGAGGAAAACTAATCCTCAGGCAGAAGAGGAGGAAAAGATATACCAAAATAACAATCTTTAAAAGGCCAGGTGGAGAGCTGAAAGAGGGGGTGATTCTAGATTCAAACCTTGAGTTTAAAAGGAAAGAGCAAGGACTTGACAGATAATTATTTAAAGGCTTCAGAAATTAATTCCAATTTTCAACACTTTCAATGGGAATGAAGGGAGATCATATCTCCTTTGCTAGCAGATAGTACTCCAGCAGTAACAACCATACAATGGAAAAAAGCTGATAAATAAAGGATGGGAATAAAACAATGCAACGTTGAAGGTGAAACTTAATGAACAACCAACACTATTAACCTAGACGAAAGTAATTACATGACAGTCAGTAACTACATCTGTTATTTTAAGTTAAGACAGCCACCAATATTGAAAAGGATACATGGAGTTTTTTTGACAGGAAGCAGAGGCTTCACGTATTCAGCAGTCCAGGGGCTGAATATCCAGCTCTTTCTCCCTGTTAGCATATATTTATTCAAATGCACTTCCTAGAAGCCATTTTCCTTAAATATCATTAATCTACAGTTATGAATCACTATCTTATGAGAAAGTCACATTCAGATGGATACTTAGCATATTTCAGTATGTATTTGTATTTTTAAGATATGTAAACTTCCTTATTTACAGAGATGATTTGTGTCAGCAATGCACTATTTGCAGTAGGTTAGGACAAAGCAAACCCGATTTATGTGATTCAACAGAAACATTGCAGCAGAAAAGTTAACAATTCTTCTCTTATTAGGTAAATATGGGATCAGGGAGCAGTGGTGGTTTTGTTGTTTAAAGAAACAACATGTGTGCTTAAGAAAAGTTTCTAAAGAGATAATACTCCCCGTTGTGTCCTGTCAAATCAGTTTCTTTGGAATAAGCTGATCTCCACTGAATCTACCACTCATCTTGCACTAGCTGAACTATCCTATATCCCTTTGTGTCTCCTTTTTACCAATAAATTAAAACAGCAGAACATTTTAATTATCCCCACAATGAGTGGGAACCTTTGTTATAACTCTTCTACACTATTTATAGATTACTTAATTGGCTACTTAGGGTTTTTAAATGTCTACACAGATGCCATGCTAGGAACGAGATGTACATTTTTCTCTGACTGAGGAATTGCATTTGCAGTTTTCATTTTTTAAATTAAAAACTGTGTAAACTGCCATTTTCAAATTCCTCTTGTGTAGGCATAGAAAGGCTGGCTAACCATGTGTTTATTTTCATTTACTCTCAACCCCTACCCACACTTACTCAAATAACAGTAAGAGCTTGACTCTGTTAAGTACAGATCTCAAACTCTCACTGAAGAGAAAGTTACAAAAAATATATAAAAAAATTTGCACCAGGTGAAAATGTAGAATAAAGGCCTAGCACAAAAGATAATTAAAAACCACAACACCATAGACTTCGCAATATTTTTCTGTTATCTTTGAAGTGGCTAAGAATTCATGCAAACATGATGTGATTATATGGATACTTCGTAATTTCTGTTTGTGAGACTCGAACCCTATCACTAAAATAGATGAATCTATATATGGCAGAATGAGAAAAATCAGAGTACATGATTGTAACTCCACTGCTACTGGTGCTGCTAGAGTTTTGCTAAACCTTGAATTGTCTTCATTTATTTCTTATCTGTGGAGACTTGTAACAAAAATATTTAGAATTGTATCAATAGAACCATTCAAACGTGAGAGTACCAGAGAAAATAAGTATGAGATCAAGGTTAAAGCAATGGTGTGCATCAATCGCCAAGAACATGAATGACATCAGCAAAACAGGTCAATATTGAAGAGGAGGCTATCAGTGTTGAGATGACCGTACAGACGACTTAGTAGCAATATCCTCAAAGCAGGATATCAGCCAGGTCATTGTGCACTCTATGTGCCATTCCTCTTCCTGTTACTCAAACAGAAAAGGAGAATAAATAAGATAGCCACAATAAGGAAACAAAAAGGCTATTTGCCCTATGTTCCTGAAGACCGACGTAAGCAAGACTTCAAGGCAAAGTATCATACCATAGCAACTTTTTCAGTCCTAAAGCGTGCAAAAATACCTGTGCAAAATGCCATATCATCATTGCCAATCCACAGCAAAACAGGAAAGACTTCATCAGATGACATCCCTTGCCCTGTCATATGCCAGCAATCCTGTTCAGACTACTTGAACATGAATCTTAGTATTTGTGGGGTATGAGATTGTGAGTTGGCAGAGTTTACCAACTTAGAAAGCTAAGCAACATAAAAACTATGTTCCTCTTCTATATAGTCTCACATTAAGGTTTTCTTTGTGTTAAATCCTACACAATAAAATTTATTTGAGAACTAAGGACTATCTGTTTGTTCAGCTTTGCGCTCCTCATATGAAGGCCTTTGTACTGAAGCCAGAATTCACCTATGGTCTTCAGCTTGGGCAAATGAAAGCAAGACTTCTGGAATACAGACATTTATATACAACTAACATTTTTTTCAGTGCCACCTTTGTGTTCCAGTTATATGAACAGCCAGAAACTTCTGGAATTACTTAGAGCTGCTCTTCTTTAAGTTTGCAGTGACTTTAGAGATAAACAGATCTCCATATTATAAAACACTTCTTCTATCTCAGTGAAGGGCAGGGTGAGTGCATACTATATACTATTTAGACAATATAGAAGTTTCTCTGCACAAAAATGATTCAGAAGAAAAGTATAAGACATGCTTACCGCAGATACTTTTCATTTTTCAGAGTAATTTTAATTTACTTAAAATGTATTCTAGAATTCTAATTTACTGAAAATGTATTCTAGAAATGCTTAAACATGATGCACCCACAGAATCATCTCTATTTTGCTTCATTACCTAGACAAAAATCTGACCCTCTGTTTTCTCAGGGAATGGCCTGTTATTGGCACTTTACAGTATGCTGTTAAGACTATACTCTTCTGAAAAGCATATGTGTCTGAGGCAGTCACAACAAACCATGTCTACACTACAATAATATAAACATCTGTAAGGATTCATCTTAACGTTCAGTTATTTCTTCCCAGAGAGGAAATTTTCCCAACATTCCTATAAGCAAGCATAAACAACGTGCATAATACTATAGCAGATTACTTCTTAGTACGTTGTACAAGTAATTGTTTCTTACTGGGAAAAAACAGTTTTAAGAATAATGCAGAATAATGCAGTCTTCAGAAAAAAAAAAATCAAAGCAAAAGACTAGAGGTTGAACACCCATCTGTTCATATTTAGATGCTAAGTTGCTAAGAAGAGCTGCAGAGACAAGACAAAAGCATCAGTAGTACCCAAAAATATACACTGTCGGGTAAAGTAAGTAAAACATGAAGGTTTTGCTGTAAGTCCGTATTTGAATAATCTTTTACTTCCAGTGTAGAAATGGTATATGGAAAAAACGGGTAAAAAACTTTCTTTTTTTTTTTTGACAGTCTTAAACTGGAGAGGTAATTATTGCTTTGGCCAGATTCTGAAGTGGATACTATTTATGAAGCAGTAGATAAAAAGCAGTGTGTAAGTGCAACATACTATTAACTACTAATGTGACCTTTCAACTTCCGATTGCTCATTTTAGTGAAGGAAGTGAGGAAATTTTAAGTAACTCTAACCTGTTTAATATGAAAGAAAAAGCTAATCTTTATTATTATTTCAACAATAGACATCATTATTAGTAAGGGAGATAGTGCATCTTCATAAAAACTACATGAAGGAAGACACCATATTTTGTTCCAACTGTTCAGACACATTCTGCTTATTATATTTTGAACATAATGCAGTTAGTCTCTAAATGTTGAAGTATTTTTCATAAATTGCTGTAATTCTAGTCATATTTTTTTAAAGAAAGCTTTACAGCATAGGAAGTACAGCATGAGTATGTGAAAGCATACAGCCCTCAAAAAAAAAAAAACCCCTTCACATTTTGTGATACTAGATTTAATATTCAAGTATTATCAAATGTTTCTTTCTTCTGCTTTTCCTACACTGCTACTATAATCAAGCCAGGAAGTCTCAAGGCGAGGCAAAAACGCTTTATGAATTTTGCTTAGGGAGCAATACCAATGATCAAAAATAACCTTCATTCATGCTGGGCAAAACCACAGTCTTGATATTCATCTCCCAGCTACAGGTAAAAGCCAAAGTGCATCTGCATGGGATACACTTGCTTCTGCATAACGTTGCAGGACAGACCCCTGCTAGGTTCCTGACACAATTTCCTTTAAACTAAAGCTACTACCATTTCAATCAGAGACACAAACCACTTTCCAGAACATTACGTGATTTATTCACTCCTGTCCATTTCATAGCAGAAGAATCTCTTTGATTACCTTACTGAATGATGTCCAGAAGTATAGTCCACTTTCCCATACTTCCGTGTGTGGTAGCCATGCTTCTCCATCAGATCCATCCATGTTACATAATCTGGATCCAGACCTTTGAAGTTATTCCAAGATTCTGTTAAATGAGTGAAAAGACCACTCCACATTGCTGGCGGGGAAAAACAAAAAAAAAGATACAAGTTTTTTGATGAGTAAGTGGTACTTCCTAGGTAAATGTAAGCTGAATAGACTGGAGAAGGGATCAATCTTCTCATTATTTTAGAGGTAAAAAGTCCACATTGTGATATAATAGAGCAGGGAATACAAAGTATTACTCTCCCAAATCTTATTTTTGTCACTAATACCAATAACAATATTTACTACAATAATTCCTAGAATCGCAGAACAAGGTGCCATCTTTCCAGGTGCTCTGCAATCATTATATCATGTTTTTCTGTAGATCAGGAAATATTCTTATTGATTACACAAAGAAAATGCCACGGTACTACAGATCCTGGTGAAAGAGTCATGTATTATACATGTGTTCCAGAGCATTATCTCCCCTTATTTCAGTTAGATTTTACTGTGACTTTAAAGTATGTTTGTGGAGGGAATTAGAGTGTATGATTTTTATAAATATTATATGCCCTCAGTTTTATGCTTTTTAGGTAATCTACTTCACTACCAGCTGCAGAAACAAAGCAAGATTATTAAAGATGAGGCCAAGAAGAAATTAAACCAAGGGAACAGTTGCAAAGGAACTGTAGGGAATGTTTTTATCAGTGAATTCCGGTGTTTCTTTGCAGCTTGTCGAGAATCATTCACTCTTCCCAATGCTAATTTAGAGTCAAAGGAAGTTCTAATATGAGACTAAGCTGTTCTATAAGCAATGGAAATATCCTGTAAGCACAAACAGAATGTCAACCCAACCCAACACCATGGTAATACGCCTACTTTCCCCACCCCAAAGCCCTCCTTCCCAGCATCTCTTCTAGTATCATCCCTGACATCTCCAGAATAGATGTACCCTCAGTTCCTTGCAGGAGTCCAAGCTACTGCCTAAACAAGAAATGTCCTGCTGGTTCAGAGCTACGCTTGTGATGACTGACCAGTGGTCATGATGATGTTGATGGACCACTTAAAATGTTAAAACCGAATTGATGAATTGTTGAATTCATCATGCAATTTCTTCCTCACTGGGAGCACTAGCTGCTATTTTCGGAAAACTTCTTAAAATAAAATAACCTAACACAAGGTTATTGTTCTCAGCAACAAAGACTGGCTGAGAGACTCAAAAATCAAGAAAAAGAAAATGAGACTGATGGTGTCTTCATGTAATCTCACTCACTTAAATGTGACCTTGAAAAACAGAAAAGGGGACTAGGGACCAATAAATGGAATACTAAACACTAACACTAAATTTGACATCCTGTGCCTGCTGCAGTCAGGTCAGGTTGCTTCTTCCAACGTATGCTTGAGAGAAAGGAGGCTCTCCCTTTCAGCTATAGATGAAATTTCATTTACATTACCTCTGCAGGGTCTTTGCAACAATTGAAAAGGCTAGAAATGTTTTAAGATGTAACATTTGATTCAAGAATATAGCTCCTTTCTAACTTCCCAGCAAATTCTGCAAGTGTGAAATTGCACACAAGATAATGATTGCAGCAAGTGAAGAAAAATACTGAAGTATTCAATTAAAGCTACCCAAGGATATATTATATATTTAACAAAGTGTTTGGAATAAATGTCATCGGAAGGCAGTGCTAACAGCCATTGATTTATTCAGTTGTTATTATTTAATACCTTTTCTTGACAATAGGAAAAAGACTTATGAACTTTGTTTTGGGAAGGGAGAGTAGTTCTGAATGCAGCATTCAGCACTGCAGCAGGCAAACTGACGGTTTCTCTACAAATCCTGAAGATTTTTAAAACCACTTAGGCTTCAGTGAAGTTTGCAAAAAGATGTGGGAGCTCACACATAGCTGGAAATAAGGAGAATGAAAAAGAAAGAGAAAGGAAGAAGCACGAGAAACAGAAAGGAGAAGCAGATCAAACATGAGAATATTGTATAAATTCAGACACAAACTAAAAAATTGAGTCTTATTAAAAAAAACCCCAACAAATTCCCCCCAACTCAATCCTTTGACATTTCACATCATTACCACACATTTACATTGACATGTGGAAGTATTTATCTGATGTTTAGTTTGGTCCTACCTGCGCGGGACGGACAACAAATTGGAGAATTGGTATAGGCATTGAGAAAGACAGTGCCATATCTTTTCATAAAATTTACGAAAGGCAAATCCACAGTCTGATTTCCTGGATAAAACGTCAAGCGTCCATCCTGCAATCAAATAAAGAAAACCAGTATGTAAACAGCATTACCCCAAACTATAGGGTGCATTAATTCATAGATCTGTTACCTTAAACTTGTATTACTCAAACGTTGCCAATTCTACTCAGGTATGCAAAATGAAGTGTTGAGAAGGTTTAATTAGATCAATATAAAATGGATTACTCATGAAAAAATGCAATGCAAAACATAACTGGGCTTGTTCACAGTAAAATTACTTCCTTTCTATTGCTATGCATATTCTAAGCTCCAGTTCTTGCAGGTGTAGGGTCCTACCATGACACATTCAACAGGGATAGGTATGGTGAAAGATGAAAAGAAGTTAGGCTGAATCCTGATGCAGGTGTGCGCACTGGTACATATTTCTGTGAAACCAGAACTGATCCTTCATCCTTTCCCTCTTTTTAAAGGTTTATCCACACCACACCTCTGTGAACTTATTTTAAACTATGGACTGTAAAAGCTATCAGCAAGCTGAAGGAAGTCTATTTTCCCACTGAAATGCCATCTGCAATAGTTCCCTTTTGATAGTTTATTGATCATTTTACCTATTTCTTTAGATAGAGTATTTAACCAGTAACTTTAAAAAGCTCCAAAATTTTGAATTAGTACTTTTACTGTACAAAATTATGATGAGGTGAAACCAGGTTTCATGTATACTGCCCTGTTTCAGGTCACTGTCTTCTCCTGTCACTTGTATGTCTTTTCTTGGCTTAGTAAGATGTCCCAACTCAGCCTCACTGGTCAGCTCTCTGGTGAAGAGACTGTTGACAGTAAATCTGCACAGTTTTAGTAGATCTCCCAGTCAGAGACATTGTAGGCATCTGAGTAACCCTCCTCTAGATTTGTGACAGAAGCACAAACACCTTAAAGCACAGGTAGCTTAGAAGTTGTGTTTTGCACAGCATTTAGTTTGCAAGAGGATGTAAGCAGGAAGACAAGAGAGCCAGGAGAGTGCATCAAACTCCAGTTACAAATTCACCAGCTACCGGTTTGTTTGTTCCAAAGACAATATACAAATTACCACATCGGCCTCTGCGTAATAAATGTCAGCAAGCAAATTTGTACCTCTAATCCATATACAGGCAATGGACTATCCTACCAACTTACTTTATTTTTATTAAGTGAGAATTGTTCCTCTATGAGAAACCACGGCAAAACAGCCAGTATGTGATTGCTAGTTACTCTGCTGTAACTTCTTTCTATCCATATGCAGCCTACCAGCATCAGCAGCCTACAAAAAATGCCTTCCGTGCCATATATTGAGCAACCCTCATTTGGCACAAAGGGTTCTTGGTGTCTGTCATCATTACATGACATTAAGTACAAAATTGCACTGTGGTTTTTACCACCATTTTTTTGTTAGGTGAGAAATCTTGAAAACAAATATTTAGTGAGATACTGCCTCTTCAACAGAAAATGTTCAACTAAACAACCACTTTGGTCCTGCTTAATCAGAACCAAAAATCAGCAGATATGACCAACACTGAATCATGTGAGTTGCCTTCTCTTAATACTGAACAGATAGTTTTATTCAACTAATAAAAACTTCATGACTGCTTCAGATGGAGAACTTTGAACATCCACTTCAAAACATAAAGAACATGTACACTCTTAACGGATGCAGGACCAAGGCCTTACCTTCTGTGAAAGTTCAGCCTTAAATAAGGGTACATTTGAAACAGGTACAAACACTTCTCAGGCATCTGAGTCACAACGAAAACTCAAAAGGATAACAGAAAATTCTATAAGCTTAGGAAAAGAAAAAAGTAGATGAATGCACGGGTCCTGAGAAGTGCTAGTCTCTGCAGTTTTTAATTAAGAAAATGCATTTTCTTTTTGAAAGACTGTATTTGGTTTGAAAATAACTATTTGAAACAAACATTGTATTTAACATAATATTCTCCTATATGAAACATAAGGCAAGCTTACGTGGAAAGAATAATAGTTTCTTTCTATCTTCAGTATCTAAGAATATAGATCAGACAAGTTAAGACTCCCTATCAATTTCACACTGTGCTGTTTCTGCACATTAGCAGATGTATTTCTGAATTTTCACTTTAGTTTCACTAGTTTAATTTTCTGGAATAATCTGTAAGAAGACAAAAAAAACCCACCACCACCACCAAAGATAAGTGACAGCAAACCTGAAGAATTTATAGTCTGTGTTACTACCACCTCCATTACCCACGATTCCCTTGGCACTAATTGTCCAAGTGAAAATTTACAATCAATATTGCACACAATCAGAGTTTGCAACGTTTCAGAAAGAACCCAGAAAACAGAGTTAAGCACAGCATAACTGTAGTCCACAGTAAGAAATAATTATTATAGATTACTGAAACATTTTAAGATTAGAATTATTCTATCAATGTTTAAAATATTCTAACCTGAGAGCATGAGCACTTCATTACCTCACCAGCCACCCAGCCGTTGCTCATATACCAAGTCCACAGTCAGAGACTAACATCATTTTCTTCATTCTTTAGAGCTCAACGCAGGGACTGCATGCAGAAGAAAACAATTCCCTCCGTCTGTTTCCTGGCAGAAAATGCTATTGGATCACACGGTGTTGTAGAGAGAATCATCTAATGTGGCACCAGGTGAGCGAACTGTGACACACCAACACCGTAGCGCAGTGGACAGCTACATACGTAAACCGGGCCACTAGAGATTAGAATACGATAAAACGATCACCGAATTTTGAGTACTACTACAAATGGCAACTCGAACAAGCATTAGGTAGGACAAACTGGAAATAACGCTGTAATCTGCAATATGCACTCAAAATGAACTTCAGGCTAGAAGTGCTCTTTAGAAAGTACATGACTGATTTGTCATCCCGTCAACAACGTATTCACAAGTTTCTCCAACAAAGGTATTGTTTGTTTGAACAGCTGGAGACAAGCATTCATTCTTTCAATACTGGACAGACAGGTGACATCTCTAAGCTGTGAAAGAAGTGAGCTTCTTTAACAGCCTGAGAAGGTGAAAGCTCTACAGCTATTTCTGGAAGCCCACTCTCCAAGAGTCTATGTAGGACTTGTGGGTTTTGAAGTACTTGAGGCTATACAATTATTATGAGTAACACAAGCAAGCACATTTCATCTTGGGCTGCATTGCAAGCAAAGCCTTTCATCACTCAGTTAATGTGAAGTAGCAATTTAGGAGCTGAATTGTCTACGAGCACATTCTACCAGCAAGCCCTGTGAGAAGCACAGCGCTTGATGTGACACAACAGCAGAAAGCTGGCTGTTCAAGTCAGAGGTTGTGGCTCTGGAGGCCAAACACAGCATCACTGAGAAGAAAATCCTTGTCACGCTTGACAAAACAGGTGTGAGTCTTTCGCAGACATCATTATTATCCTGGTTTCGACTGAGATAGAGTTAATTTTCTTCCTAGCAGCTGGTATAGTGCTGTGCTTTGGATTTGGGATGAGAATGGTATTGGTAACACACCAATGTTTTGGTTGTGCTGGGCATTGTTTACACCACATCAAGGCCTTTCCAGCTCCTCACCCCACCAGCAAGTGCTGGGGGTGCACGAGAAGCTGGGAGGGGACACAGCCAGGACAGCTGACCCAGACTGGCCAAAGACTTATTCCATACTGTATGGCGTATAGAACTGGAGGGAAGGTGGCCAAGGCGTGATTGCTGCTCGGGGATGGGCTGGGCATTGGTCAACAGGTGGTGAGCAACTGCATTGTGCATCACTCATTCTGTATATTCTTTTATCACTAGTATCATTATTATTTTCTCTTCCTTTGCTGTCCTATTAAACTGTCCTTATCCCAACCCACAAGTTTTACCTTTTCTTTTTTTGATTCTCCTCCCCATCCCACTGCAGCAGGGCGGAGGAGGAATGAGCGAGTGGCTGAGTGATGCTCAGCTGCCGGCTGGGGTAAAACCACAACAATCACACATGACAAAGGCAAACACACTTTGAAATGAAAATCCACACTATTTTGACGGCCTGCAGGACTCAAACTTTATTCCCCCCCCCCACAAAAAAACCCCTACTAGTTAGTTTCAACCCTATACTCAACTCGTCCTGTTTTCTACTGCTTTATCTTTGAAATCACAGAAACCACATTTTCAGAAAGCATCTGAAGAAGGATAAGAGATGTTTACCAAATACTTAGAAAGAATTAATCCCAAGAGTGACTGGCAGCAGACAAGAAATCAAGTGCTTTTACCTACACCATCAAGGACAGCATTCTGAGATGACTGGGAGCCAAGTGATAATTTCTCAACAGGGAGTGAGAAGATGAGATGTAAAAGTCCTTGGAAACAATACCATGGAGAATATGTTTGATTTAACAGGAAGGTGTGCTCAGATGAGGCAGAGAAGACAAGGCTTGCCCTTGCCTCTAAGTTAAACTTTGATAAAAGCATTTTTACCCAGTATGCTGGGTGGGCAAATAAAAGCATGGCGAGAAAGGGTGGAAAAAAATGCACTGTCTTTAGCTATATGGAAAGACACTTAGTATTTGTGAATGGAAAAAAAAAAAATTTTTCTACCACTCTGGGGGTTAGAACAAATGTATCAATAAATGACTGTAATAAAGAGCTAGAAATTTATAAAAACATACCTACTGGATCCTCTATCCTTTCAGCTTTAGATACTCACCTGACAAATTTACTCCAATATTTATTATACCTACTAAAAGTCTGAGTAAGTCAATATATGATGCCCAACAGCTTAACTCCATCATTTCATCTGTGATTACAGAAATTCTCCATCCCACTGCGGGGACCTAATGTTCTAAGGATTTACAATGGCAAAAATAACAGGACTTAGTGACCTTCCTTTCCTTTTTGCTTTTCAAGCCAACAGAAAAGCTTTCATTTTACCCACCAGGTCTGTTCTGTCCTGCAGAATGTGCCCCTACCTGCCCCAAGTTGCAGTGACAAGCTGTACAGCTGCTGACGGCAGGAACCACCCATGCAGAACTTTGACTATTGTAACGCGCGCTCCTGGGAAGAACGCCG